AAAAAAAAATAGAAATGTACTAGAAAGGGCAAGATGTTTGTTGTTTGAGAAAAATGCCTACGACGTTTTGGGTTGAGGCAGTCAATATCTCTTAGTTTGCCTGTTCAACTGACTGGCAACAAGGTCTGCTATGAGAAAAATTCCAATCGAGACCTAACATTACTACAAACCTAGTTTATACCATCTCACGATATTTGGATTTATGCGCTTTGCACTTGTTCCATCTTCAAAAAGGGAAAAGTTGGACTGAATGTAAAGATGAGAGTTTCATGGGCTACAACATTGAGTCTAAAGTGTACAAAATTTTCAATCCAACAGTTGAAAATGAATGACATCTATGATCTAGTTACATTCCATTTCAAGGTCACTTATACACGGATGATGTGCCGGATCATCGAGCTAATCAAGAACAAGAACAATAAGAGCTTGATCAATAATATGACTTGGAACCTAAAGTTGAAAACAAAAGTGATGATGAAGGTGATGATTCTGGCGAGGATGAGGCATAAAACCACTTGCATATGTGTATGCAAGCTACGACTTGAGTATTGAAGAACATGACACTATGTAGGAATATCTAAGGCATAAGGGGCGGGAGGTTGCAATATAGCATGAGTGCAAGATGATCATAAAAATTGGTTAAAAGACTAGTTGGAAAGAAGGAAATTAGAACAAAATGGGATTTCATAACCAAAATAAATCCTTATGGTCCAGTGAACAAGCTGAAAGCTAGGCTGATTATAAATGTCTATTCTCAACAATAGAGAACTAATTATGGAGAAACTTTTGATCCAGTACCAATTTGGACACTGTAAAATTGCAGTTACTACTCACAATTGCTCGATGCACCATTAGAAGCATTCATAGACTAAACAATAGAATTGAAAATAACCAATGAAACCCCATCGAGACCCCTAATCTCTGACACGTCATTAAGCTCATAAGAACATCGACCATCCATTTGTTCATTAGAATCATAAACGAATGTAAGACAAATATGGTCCCTTCCCTTCTAATTACAAATGCATAAAAAAAAATTGTTGCAAGGTGAACATATCGAGAGCGACCTTATGCAAAATCAATATCCATCCTAGTAAGATCATTTTGTAATCTGTGAAAAATAGCCAAGTAGAAATGATAACTTAGTAAATTCAAAGCATTATCTTCCTAGCTCTAGTCTCCGAAATAGCCACAATATCTACATATAGCTTAGTAGGAGTATCAATAATTCAATATACTACTAAATTGTCACTCTCGTGTAAAAGGAAAAGAATATGGTTGGGTTTTTTCCCCCTCCTGTTTACTTTCTTAACGGTCGGTATTGATTTGTGGTGCACTAGTTCGGATTTGATCATATTGTCATGGCATTTTTTTTTTTTTTGTAGAAACATGCCATTTCAATTATTGTGCTCCATTGTCGAGCAAAAAAAAAGCAGCAAACCGACTAAGGAAAGGAAAAAGAAAAGAAGAAAGCAAATTTCCCCATTGTGAGTTTGTGACCATTGCGAGTGACCGATTGAGTTGAGTGATATCCCATCATAATAACTTATATCTAATTAAGTAGAGGATAATTATGGATTGCGCATAACCCTAAGGACTGGGTTTTAAACCTTCTTTTGGGAATTTTTTATAATTCGGCTTTTTGGATAAAAAAATTAATACTTTTTTGCAACCCAATCTCTTAAAATGTAAGCAAATAAGCAATCTAAAAAATCTTTTATGATATATGTGTTGTGTATCATAAGCAAGTGCAACACATAGTTTTGGATAACTAATTTGGGTTGCTTAAACTACATAATACGCAACTCTAAAAAAATGTGTTGCCTTTATATATCTAACACAACACTTTTAAATAGTGTTGCGATCCCGGTGTTGCAAGAAGTCACTTTTCCCGTAGTGGTTGCAATTGAGTGGGGATGTTATTTTATGATTAAGAAGCATTTCATCATTGGTCTATAGCTGAAAATGAATGACATCTATATATTATCTAGTTACATTCCATTTAAAAGTCACTTAGACACGGATGATGTGTCGGACCATCGGGCTAATCAAGAACAAGAATAATAAGAACTTGATCAACAATATGACTTGGAACCTAAAGTTGGAAACCAAAGTGATGATGAAGGTGATGATTCTGGCGAGGATGAGCATGTAGGAGGCATAAAACCACTTGCATATGTGTATGCAAGCTACGACTTGAGTATTGAACAACATAACACTATGTAGGAATATCTAAGGCATAAGAGGTGGGAGGTTGCAATATAGGAGGGGTACAAGATGATCATAAAAATTGGTTAAAAGACTAGTTGGAAAGAAGGAAATTAGAACAAAATGGGATTTCATAACCAAAATAAATCGTTATTGTCCAGTGAACAAGCTGAAAGCTAGACTGATTATAAATGTCTATTCTCAACAATAAAGAACTAATTATGAAGACACTTTTGATCCCATATCAATAGGGATGGCAATGGGGCGGGTTTGGGGCGGGTTTGCCTAAACCATCCCCATCCCCATTTCCATATACCCATACCCATGCGGGTTGAGGATTTGCATACCCATCCCCATACCCGCGGGTTTCGGGTACCCATGGGTAATACCCATCCCCATGTATGCATTACTTCTACACCTAATAAACAACATGCATTCTTCAATTATAACACTAAAACAACCACATAAATTATGAAATCAACAAGGTACAATCATTCTTAATACGAAAAAACATCCAATCCTTTGTTTAATTGTCTCCAATAATGACATTTAGCTTTTATCTCTTCACCTTCTTGATACCTTGTAAAGTGTTTCCAAGCATCACTCGTAAACCTATTACTAGGCAAATCACTACCAGTTCCTTCACTCATTACAACATCACCTTGATTAGTAGGAGGATTGTTGGCAGCATTACCAACAGAAGGAACAACAAGGGGGGTTGAATTCGTTGTTGGTATAGAAGCTGTTTGGGTGGTAGCGGTAGTTGAATTTTGCTCCATGGCTGCAGGTGATATTGCATCAGATTGTGAAGAGTTGCTAGCCATCTAGAGATAAAAAGCCGACTTTCTGAAAGAATTAAAATTCAAATCAGTTGTATATACAATAAACACACAAATCAGACGTATAAGGTATCCCGCTGCTGATGCATTCTCCCATGAAAAGCAGTGGTATTAGCTCTTTTACCTTCTTCTTTGGGGATATTAGGCTGATCGACCAAGAGCTGGTGAAGGGCAATTAGATCAGTTGAGCTGCAAATTAACGCCAAGTCCGATCTATGTCATGAAAACCACTTTGTGGCCGCCGATTTTTTGCCGTAGCTGGGTGGGGACGAGAATGACTGCGGCGACGGGATTGGGCGGAAGGAGACCTCCGTGGAGCTGACGGCAAGGCGGCGACGGGATCTGGGTGACGACTGACGAACCGCGCGGAGAACTGGGCGGCGACGGGTGACGAACTGGGCAGCGACGACTGAAGACCTCGGTGGATCTGTGCGGAGAGCCGGGCGGCGACGGGATCTGCTGGGCGTGGAGCTGGGCGGCGCGCCGGCGACGGGATCGAGTGGTGAGGCTGAGGGAGTCGACGGGAGAAGAAAGATCTCGAGACGACGGGAGGCTGCGGGAGGCTGCTGGCCGGCTGCGGGAGTCGACGGACGGGACGACGAGCCTTGCGATCTCCTCCGCCACCGACGACGACAACTTCGCCGGAGAAGGCCTGTGGGAGGATGAGCGTCTGCGCCTCTGCGGGGCTGCGGGCTGTTTGTGCGGCGGCTGTCAAAAAATGAGAATGGAGAAGGGCTAATGTTTCATTTAGGGTTTTGATAAGTAAAATTATGTTTTAGCCATCTATATTTATTTTATTTACCCTTTATGTCATTAACAATTTACAAACAGGTACTTGTATTTTTAGCATATAACAAACAAGTTTGACGGGTTGGGTATGGGTATGGGTATGGGGCGGGGCACCTAAAACCAAACCCGCCCCATACCCATCAGATTCTTCGCGGGTTTTACCCATACCCGCCCCATACCCAGTCAAAGCGGGGATTCCCCACGTTGACTGGGTATGGGGCGGGCGGGTACCCGCGGTGGTGGGTATGACTGCCATCCCTACATATCAATTTGGATACTGTAAAATGGCAATTACTCACAATTACTCCGAAGATGCACCATTAGAAGCATTCATAGACTAAACAATAGAATTGAAAATAACCAATGACACCCCATCGAGACCCCTAATCTCTGACACGCCATTATGGTCATAACATCGACCATCCATTTGTTCATTAGAATCGTAAGACAAATATGGCTCTTTTCCTTCTAATTACAAATGCATAAAAGAATTTGTTGCGAGGTGAACATATCGAGAGCGACCTTATTCAAAATCAACATCCATCCCAATTAGATCATTTTGTTACCTGTGAAAAATAGCTTAGAAATGATAACTTAGTAAATTCAAAGCATTATCTTCCTAGCTCTAGTCTCCGAAATCGCCACAATATCTACATATTGCTTAGTAAGGATTATCAATAATTCAATATACTACTAAATTGTCACTCTCATGTAAAAGGAAAAGAATATGGTTGGGTTTTTTCCCCCTCCTGTTTACTTTCTTAACGGTCGGTATTGATTTGTGGTGCACTAGTTCGGATTTGATCATATTGTCATGGCATTTTTTTTTTTTTTGTAGAAACATGCTGTAACATCCCAAACCGCCTCAATTTGGAGTTTCCTTAATTACCCCTCTCAAGTATAATTGTATTAATAATCACACAATCATTTATGGAGCCAGCTAAAATTTACATGCAAACAACCACCGACATTGTCATCACTCCCATACCATTCTCTTCTTTATTTCCACCAACGCTCCTCCTTTAATCGTCAACAACTACTACCCTACTGAACCCATTCCCCTCACATTAAGATAAGAGAGGACAAGCTCTTCCTTTCTTTTTCACAATCGCATACCATCATGATCTCATCTCCCCTGCTTCTCTTAATTAGTGACTCTCCACCACAAAATCTCACCCTCCATCATTAGCATACAACTTGTTCTCTCATTCCCGGCTGCCGTTCCGTCCGCCAACCTCTACTCATCATCGCCGCCAGAGAAGTACGATGCCACACTATATATGAGTCATGTTCCATTCTCTCTCGACCAGTAGGTAAGCAAAACGAATCCCCTCTCCATTCAAGCTTCAAGGCTTCATAACTAACAAGCAAATGATCTTTCTACGGCGTAGCTTCGGCGGCGAAAGAGCGGGGTGACCAAACGACGATTCAAACAAGGAATTGAGGCCCTAAGGCTTCCTACCTAGGCCTAGACTCGTATTGAAGGTAAGGAAGCTCAATCCCTCTCGCTAAAGGCACCATTTATGCGAGTTATGCGTCTTTGTAGAAATCTGGGAATTTAGCGACGGAATTACAGGCTTTTAGCAACAAAACATCCGCCGTGGCTATAGTCTTGCCAACCAGTGTCAGTGGCATTCCTTTTAGGGACGAGATGTCATAGTTTTAGTGACTGTTCCGGCGACTGTCACTAAAGGAGCTGTATCTTTTGCATATTAAGTCTCTAGGTGAATTATGTAAAGTTATTTGAATTAATGTGCAATTGAGTTAATAGACATGCATGGATTAGGATGTTAATAAGTTAGTAGTTGATAAAATGGTTTAGTTTGAGTTAATTAAGTATTTTATCCAATAATATAAAGACTATAATATGATAAGAGGTTTTTAAGCAACTTAATGGATTAAGATGATTTAAGTATTAGTTAGAAAATATTAGTTTAACCAGTATGATATTTGATATGATTAGTAAGTAAAATTTATCATTGGCAGTTAATGGGTAAATCTACTAGTTTATTTAGTATGGTAATATATGTTATTATATGCTAGGTAAAAGTGATTTTAGCATGATTAGTTCCAAGTATTTAAATTGGCATAGATTTAGGGAGCGGAGGTTTTATATGACAAATTATTTAATACGTCAATTAACCGTACTTTGCAATTATTGCGAAGTAGTTCCAAGTCGAGGGAACCGTTGCTAAGAACCCGAAACCCAATCGATCTAACCTCGACTTTCGTCATAGGTTCGCCAAGGCATTTCACCCATGAAGAGCACAGATTTCTTGAGTTGGTGGCTAAATGATCAGGTCAGCCGACTTAAGCTAATAAGGTGCGTGGTTTGAGGGGCTAGTTAGTATTTCGCTTTAATCATGTCTTTTACTTAAGTTACGCTCATATGCTCTATGTGCATGTTCACGGTAAGTGTATTTATGTTCAGCAAGCATGACATTGCATTCCATCATGAAGTTATGTTTTGAGCAAGATTATGGACTTACGTTCCATGTTACCAAGTTATCAAGTAAGAACATGTTTTTAACTACTCACTTGACTAGTGCACGCGGCTACCCTACTTCCCGTCAGGTGGAAGTCAAGTTCAGGATTATGTTACTTCCCGCCAGGTGGAAGTTAACATTCATGTTATAATAGTGTACTTTCCGTCAGGTGGAAGTTACGCTCATGATTGTGTTACTTCCCGTCAGGTGGAAGTTACACACATGTTATATCTTCCCATCAGGTGGAAGTTTACGTTTGGTGGCCGTTAGTGTGCTAGTTGAGTCGAGTTCGGGGCCCCCTTTCACAAGAATTAAGATGCAATTGATTTTAAGTATATGATCATGTACCAAGCATTGCACTAGCATCCTTGTTTATTTATTTCAAGCATATGTTGTTATGAGTTTTCACCATTAAAGCGAAACTAGGATTAGGACTGACCCCAACGCCCGCATTCAGGAATCATAGAAGCACATAAGCACGCATATGGATTTGACGGTTCATCAATGGCTCCAGAGGACTCCAGAAGGAAGAAGTTAAGTTCAGTACTTTAGTGGGACGAGAGACTTGATGTGATTTTACGATGAAGATTTATTAAAACTAATATCTCAAGGTTGTTCATGTTTTAAGTATTACGCTTCCGCTACCTTTCAATGTATTTAATGTTCATTGAATTATAAGGGTATTTTGGTAAAAGTAGCACCCTATCGGGTTAGGGTGTTACAGCTTGGTATCAGAGCCGGTTTCCCTCTGTCTTCACTATCTAAGTGAGATACTGGGAAAACGATTTTTATGTTTTCAAGGATTTTTAAAAGGTTTTGGCAATTTCAACTAGCCAATTGAATTCAAGATTAGTTTTGAAAACATCAAGTCTCGTTCTCTAATAGTTCTGGAGTGGTAAATCAAGACGGTGGTTCAAGGTGGTCAAGGAATGACAAGATACGAATTAAGAGGATACGAACGGTTTAAGAATAAGTGCGAGGATCTTGATTTAGGTAGAAGCGATAAGCTATGTCAAACTAGTTCAGGAAATGCGAATGCTCATAATTATGGATAACAATTTCACACGACTAGACGTGAGAAGCTACAGTCACCAATAAATTTCGGGGCCGAAATTTTTATAAGTGGGGAGGAAATGTAACATCCCAAACCGCCTCAATTTGGAGTTTCCTTAATTACCCCTCTCAAGTATAATTGTATTAATAATCACACAATCATTTATGGAGCCAGCTAAAATTTACATGCAAACAACCACCGACATTGTCATCACTCCCATACCATTCTCTTCTTTATTTCCACCAACGCTCCTCCTTTAATCGTCAACAACTACTACCCTACTGAACCCATTCCCCTCACATTAAGATAAGAGAGGACAAGCTCTTCCTTTCTTTTTCACAATCGCATACCATCATGATCTCATCTCCCCTGCTTCTCTTAATTAGTGACTCTCCACCACAAAATCTCACCCTCCATCATTAGCATACAACTTGTTCTCTCATTCCCGGCTGCCGTTCCGTCCGCCAACCTCTACTCATCATCGCCGCCAGAGAAGTACGATGCCACACTATATATGAGTCATGTTCCATTCTCTCTCGACCAGTAGGTAAGCAAAACGAATCCCCTCTCCATTCAAGCTTCAAGGCTTCATAACTAACAAGCAAATGATCTTTCTACGGCGTAGCTTCGGCGGCGAAAGAGCGGGGTGACCAAACGACGATTCAAACAAGGAATTGAGGCCCTAAGGCTTCCTACCTAGGCCTAGACTCGTATTGAAGGTAAGGAAGCTCAATCCCTCTCGCTAAAGGCACCATTTATGCGAGTTATGCGTCTTTGTAGAAATCTGGGAATTTAGCGACGGAATTACAGGCTTTTAGCAACAAAACATCCGCCGTGGCTATAGTCTTGCCAACCAGTGTCAGTGGCATTCCTTTTAGGGACGAGATGTCATAGTTTTAGTGACTGTTCCGGCGACTGTCACTAAAGGAGCTGTATCTTTTGCATATTAAGTCTCTAGGTGAATTATGTAAAGTTATTTGAATTAATGTGCAATTGAGTTAATAGACATGCATGGATTAGGATGTTAATAAGTTAGTAGTTGATAAAATGGTTTAGTTTGAGTTAATTAAGTATTTTATCCAATAATATAAAGACTATAATATGATAAGAGGTTTTTAAGCAACTTAATGGATTAAGATGATTTAAGTATTAGTTAGAAAATATTAGTTTAACCAGTATGATATTTGATATGATTAGTAAGTAAAATTTATCATTGGCAGTTAATGGGTAAATCTACTAGTTTATTTAGTATGGTAATATATGTTATTATATGCTAGGTAAAAGTGATTTTAGCATGATTAGTTCCAAGTATTTAAATTGGCATAGATTTAGGGAGCGGAGGTTTTATATGACAAATTATTTAATACGTCAATTAACCGTACTTTGCAATTATTGCGAAGTAGTTCCAAGTCGAGGGAACCGTTGCTAAGAACCCGAAACCCAATCGATCTAACCTCGACTTTCGTCATAGGTTCGCCAAGGCATTTCACCCATGAAGAGCACAGATTTCTTGAGTTGGTGGCTAAATGATCAGGTCAGCCGACTTAAGCTAATAAGGTGCGTGGTTTGAGGGGCTAGTTAGTATTTCGCTTTAATCATGTCTTTTACTTAAGTTACGCTCATATGCTCTATGTGCATGTTCACGGTAAGTGTATTTATGTTCAGCAAGCATGACATTGCATTCCATCATGAAGTTATGTTTTGAGCAAGATTATGGACTTACGTTCCATGTTACCAAGTTATCAAGTAAGAACATGTTTTTAACTACTCACTTGACTAGTGCACGCGGCTACCCTACTTCCCGTCAGGTGGAAGTCAAGTTCAGGATTATGTTACTTCCCGCCAGGTGGAAGTTAACATTCATGTTATAATAGTGTACTTTCCGTCAGGTGGAAGTTACGCTCATGATTGTGTTACTTCCCGTCAGGTGGAAGTTACACACATGTTATATCTTCCCATCAGGTGGAAGTTTACGTTTGGTGGCCGTTAGTGTGCTAGTTGAGTCGAGTTCGGGGCCCCCTTTCACAAGAATTAAGATGCAATTGATTTTAAGTATATGATCATGTACCAAGCATTGCACTAGCATCCTTGTTTATTTATTTCAAGCATATGTTGTTATGAGTTTTCACCATTAAAGCGAAACTAGGATTAGGACTGACCCCAACGCCCGCATTCAGGAATCATAGAAGCACATAAGCACGCATATGGATTTGACGGTTCATCAATGGCTCCAGAGGACTCCAGAACGAGAGACTTGATGTGATTTTACGATGAAGATTTATTAAGACAAAGATGTTCCAAACCATGTTGATTTTTATGTCTATTGTTTTCTTTAGTATATATGACGCTTCCGCTACCTTTCAATGTATTTAATGTTCATTGAATTATAAGGGTATTTTGGTAAAAGTAGCACCCTATCGGGTTAGGGTGTTACACATGCCATTTCAATTATTGTGCTCCATTGTCGAGCAAAAAAAAAAAAAAAGCAGCAAACCAACTAAGGAAAGGAAAAAGAAAAGAAGAAAGCAAATTTCCCCATTGTGAGTTTGTGACCATTGCGAGTGACCGATTGAGTTGAGTGATATCCCATCACAATAATAAAATAATAACTAAATAAAAACAAATTAAACGGTTGTTTTCTCATCATCATCACCATTGACTTAAAACAGAAATACATTCAAAAACATTATTATCATTATTCGCGTTGAAAATTCAATGCCCCCCTCCCTACCTCTGCCTCTTTTTTAAAAAAAAATTGCTGTAGGAACTCTTGTTTCCCTCTTCCCCATAACGGCGTTACTGCCTGTCGTTTTGCTCTATATAAATTCCTTCCCCTTCCTCTTCTTCACTTCACTCTCCCTTTCAAGTTTTCCCACCTTCACCCTCCCCTTCTCCTCTTTCTCTGTACTCTGCCTCTCTCTCTCTCTAAACTGAAGGTAAAAAAAGGAGCATCACTCTGTTTCTCGAGAATCTAACATGGTTGCGTAAAGCAGAAGTTGTAGCAGCAGCAGCAGCTAGTAGTACTCCATTCTTCACACCTCCAGAGAGATTTTTCTTTCTCCCCTTTCTCCCCTTTCCTCCATACGACAGAGATAAACTGTGTTTTCTCGAAATGGGCAAGAAGCAACACTCCCTGCTACCGCCGCTGGTCCCGCCGCCGCCTCACCATCATCAGACGCCCGCCGCCGGCGACGGCGGAGGAGGAGGGAAAACCGAAGCTGTCATCGACATCCTGCGGAAGCAATCCCAGCTCACTCTCAAACAGGTAAACCAATTAACAAAACAGAGCATCTCCTTTTTCGGAACCACCCATCATCCCCTGTTTTTTCTGAATGTGCTCTGTTTTTGGGTTTCTCATTTTCGTTTTTTTGGTGGGTGGCAAATTTGAAACAGGAGAAGTACTGTAACAAGGGCTGCGTGGAAAGGTTTCTGAGGTCGAAAGGAGGGAATGTGAAGAAGGCTGCCAAGGCATTGCGCACTTGTCTCTCCTGGAGACAATCCATCGGCATTGGTAATCTATCTATCTTTCAAGCTTCTTCTTCCTCTGCCTTCTCCTTCTTTACTACTGCTTCAGCTTTTCTCAAGTTTAAGTTTCAAGCATATTCAAAAGTGGGATTTTTTTTAATTTAATTAGTTTTATTATCTCTGTTCTTTTTGTTGTGGTTGAGGATAGAATTAGAATCTGTGTCTCCATTTTCCACTCTTTTTTGGTTTTGAATAGTTGGGCGTTAAAGTAAGTAAAGTGTGGGGGGTCTTCTAATTCAACCTTTGGGGTCCGCTCTTGTCCTGTAATCATTTGACCCCCACTAATTACTAAAACTGTCATTAACGGAACAAATCACTACTTTTAATTAATTGCTTTTCTTCTCTTTGTTCTCTTTGTTCTTGTCCGAGTGTCTTAATTATCCTTTTTTGTATTAATTGAATATGCAGAGCATCTAATAGCAGATGAGTTCTCAGCTGAGCTAGCCGAAGGCGCTGCCTACGTGGCCGGCCACGACGACGACTCCAGACCAGTTGTGGTCAGTCAGTAATTTAATCAAAGTTCAACTTCAATTCTTAACCAAGTTAATTAGTGCTAAACTTTACCTCTGATTATTTAATTACCCCCTAGATCTTCCGCATCAAGCAAGACTACCACAAGTTCCATTCCCAGAAACTGTAAGTAATTGCTTAAATCAAACTCAGCAAGAAAAAAAAAGTTACCTCTCTGTTTTGTTGAGGTTCTGATTTTTTTTTTTTTGTCGTTTAATTCACAGATTCACTCGTTTCATGGTGTTCACGCTGGAGGTGGCCATAAGCAGCATGCCCAAGAACGTGGAACAATTTGTTCTTCTCTTTGACGCAAGTGAGTAATTTTACTAATTTACCTTTAGCTCCCTCTCTGGTAAATTATATTTTAACCGTTACCAGCGTTATGTGGCACGTTAGAAAGTTTCTGATTCTGAGGAGGTTACGTAGCTTTTTAATTAATGAGGAGCAGGCGGGACAGTTTTTCTTTTACAAGTCGTCTTTTTTTCACAGGATGCACGCTAGTAAAGCAGAGTCTATAGATCAATGTAGTAAAAAAAAGTGAAAGAACAACATTGAATGCTATGGTATATAGATTATAGATGTGGGGCAGCCGGCAAGAGTCTGCATGAAAATGTCCGGACTGCCCTTCCAAGTGTCCTACTCATTGCAGTATTATTGGTCCTCCCCTGCCTAAAGGGCATTATCGGGAATTGGACCTCCCTTCCCCAGCAGCTCAGCCTAAGGTTCCTTAGATCTTACAGTGCATATTACTACTACACTAGTCACTAGTGTACTTGTTGGAAATCAAAAGAGAGAAAGAAAGAAGATATGGAGGTCCTAGAATTGGTCAACCTCACTGATAATTCCCTTTCGAAATCTGGGTATTTGGGAAAAAGAGAAATGAAATAGTGCTAAAGTGCTTTTTTTTTATTTTCCTTTGTTCTTGCCTTGATCCACACCCAGCTAACTGCCCAGGATTCTACTTTTTTTCCTGGGTCTGCAAATTCGGGTCAGGATTCTGCTTTGGAATTAATAGCTATAACTTTTAATGCTCTGCTTTTTTACCGATAAGTGCTCTAATTTGTTACTCTTCAAATCTTGAGGAGTTAAATTCATTCTTTTGGGTAATTTGTGGTGGGAAATGCAGGCTTTTTCAGATCAGGATCGGCTTTTCTGAACTTGCTGCTGCCGACACTGAAAATTGTGGCGGATTACTACCCAGCCAGGCTGCACAGAGCTTTTCTCATCGACCCACCTTCCCTTTTCTCCTACCTTTGGAAGGTAACACTAGCGTCATTTATGCACACTAACCTTCGAGTTAATTCGAAAGTTTTTTTGACTTTTTTTTTTTGTGACTAATTTGTTTGATTATTATCAGGGCGTCCGTCCATTTGTGGAGCTATCAACGGCGACGGCCGTGGTGTCGTCGCTGGACTTCGAAGACTCCATGGAGTACTTCAACGACTTCTCCACCTATCCACGATCCGCGTCCCTCCGATTCGACCCGTCATCAATCAAATCAACGGCCAAGATCGGCTCCTGCTCCTCCTCCCGGTTCTCCTTCACCGTGTCCCACCACTTCGACTCCGTGAAGCCCTGGTACCTCTCTCTCACGGGCGACACGTCAGCTTCCAAAGTGGGGCCCACCGCCGCCACGACGAAGGACACATCGCTGGGCCCCGCGTTGATCTCCCCGCTCAACGCGCGGTCCTACTCGTTCGCCTCCCCGATCGCACGGACGCCACCTGGCAGCATCGGCGGGAGCAGCCACTACGGCGCCGCCGCAGCAGCCGCCAGGCTGGCCAGGAAGGGGTTCCTGCCGTCGACGCCGCTGCCGCAGAGGGTCACCGCTGGCGTGAACGTCTGCCACCCGCGGACCCCGCGCCCGTCGTTCCTCCAGTCGCCGGCGCTGTTCTTCAGGCGGGGGGACTGCCACGCCGCCGCCGGCGGGAACAAGGCCGAGCGGTGCAGGGAGTCGTTCCTCCCGTTCGTGAAGTTCTACCGGCGGCCGTACGACGAGATGGTTTACCGGTCGAAGATGCGGCCGCCGCTGGGCGGGCTCATCTCCATCGTCTCCCCGCAAATCAGGCGCCGCCACGTGTCCGTATCGCAGCGGTTCTGAACGTAAAGCTAAAGGATTGAAGAGAGAAAATTGGAGAAGATGGTGGGGAAAGGGAAGGGAAGAGAAGAGTACATAGAAGAAAGAGTGTTAATTAAAATTGTCATTAATTACAGTTGTAATTTTTGTTACTACGATCATCTTGTTGGTTTCAACTTAATTATTTAACGTGCTGATGAATGAGAAAATGAAATTTGTCAATGCTGCTGAGTGTGGATTAGTAAGGTGATTAGTTAATTGCTAATTGTGTTGGGAAATCCGATGTTTGACATTATAAGTATGATTGCATTGATCATTTGACTAATGTTGAACAAGGAGACAGCGTTCGAGGTGGGATGTGAATTAGTGTGCTAAATTAAATCCCCATGTGTGGTTTTGAACTCTGTGACATGCATGCTGTGCTCCCAACGAATTTAACCTATGTATTATAAAACACAACACAACATAACATTATTGCTGATATAGAATTTGATTAAAAATACAAAAGTTTACCATTTGAAAAAAAAATATAATACTGTTGTCAAACAAAAACATCAGCATGTTTCTAGTTCTCTATCCTCATCGAGAGATATAGAAATCGAAACTGATAATAGACAATGCGGTTTTAGTTAGTGTTGACATTAACATTGTAATCAAATTCTATATTATAGCAACAATGTAATTCCAATCTAGTTGGATCTTTGAAGTAAATTTATTATTTATATAGGTAAAAAGCTGGCCCTGGCTATTTGACATGCACTGTAGATGTCGGCAATTAGCATTTAATACTTACTCGGTTTTAGCTTGGTGGAGAAAAGAGAAACGAAGGAGACATGGGAAGAAGATAGCGTGGTCGAAACGGTGAACATTGGCATTGGGAATCATATTCCCTAACCTGTGTATATCTTATTGCATGTTCTGGAGGATTAGCATTTAGCAGTGAAACCCCACATTTGTATTAGGCCCAAGAGAAGATTTATATAGTAATTAATTATTATTATATGGTTTTGACATGGAAGAGTTCAGACGTGGTGGGATCTTAGTTTTTGGGTTTCAATTTAAGTACTAATTATGTTCGTTGCTTTTTAAAATTGGGTTCTGTGGTGGAATCTAGCTTAGCTAGGGGCGACTTTTAGTCAGGTTGGAGTTGGACTTTTTGGCCTTGACATAAATAAAAATATTATTATTGAGTAAGTTTGAAAACTTGTTCTCACTTCTCAGCATGCAATTGTGTGCTCGACTGTTACATGCGCATATATATAATTAAGCTACTGTCAGTGGATATTCCTAATTAAACTACTTAGTTCTCCACTGTTTGAAATGACAAAGGGGCGCCAATTTTAACGGCCATCTCTCTGTGACATCGTTTCATTCTTGTTTGGATGGAGTTTTTTTTTTATAAAAAAAAATTGAAAAATCGTACAGGAGGTTGTACTGAAAAAGTCAGCAGTAGAGTATTTTATGTTGAAATCGTGGTTAAACGGTAGTTTAATCATTGGGTTATAGGTAGAATATGCCCCTCTACTATGACGTTTTATCAAACATGCCCTTCTACTATTTTTTACATCAAATATGCCCTTGTACTTTGAACAAATTATCAAACATGCCCTTATGTTAAAATTTTCATTGAAAAAATCGTCAATCGTGGTTGAACCGAGATTTAGATGACCCGACATCGGCAAATGGGAGGAAAAATGTCAGTTTTGTCCCATGTTTTATTTCACTAGGTCTTTTCAAAGTGAAATTATTTGAATGATTTGATTATACAAAAGAACGAAAAAAAATTTAAAGTGAATTTATTATGGATATTTTAGTCATTTGTGTCGCCCAAACTAAAGTTCGGTCTTGGTTAACGGTTTTTGGATGAAAATTTTAACAAAAGGGCATGTTTGATCATTTTTACAAAGTACAAGGGCATGTTTGATGTAAAAAATAGTAAAGGGGCATGTTTGATAAAGCGTCATAGTAGAGGGGCATATTATACCTATAACCCTTAATCATTTCATACGGCAAATATCCAGTGGCGGATCTAGGGCTGGGCCAACCCAGGCCCCGGCCCAGCCCTCCTTCGGATTCAGAGTTAGTTTAGTGCTTATAAAATTTTTCGATTTAGGTATTTGGCCCAATGCTATTTAAAATCCTGTCTAGTTTTATTTGATAATAGGATTTTGTGTAACTAGGAAAATGGTTCAGATGAACATATTCAAACCATTACTCTAAATTTATACTAAATTTTCTATAGCCCCAATGATTTTATTTGAAAAAAGACATGAAAACCTACAAGTGTAAAGTTTCATTAAAATAAAAAAATCTATAAACTAAAGCACACCCTTCCTTGCAAAAATTCAAAAAATTTCCCAATCCCCCCAAAACAACACAAGAACGAGGAGACGAGCATACTCAAAATGGATTTCTCCGCCAGCCCGTCGAGCTAGTTTTCTTTCCATTCTTTTGATTAAGAAAATATTTACAAACTTGCTGAGTTATCATTTATATTGCCTCAATTGAGTGGGGCACTAGATTCTAACCGTTCTTTCTAGTGTTTGATGAAGAAAATACTTACAAACTTGCTCAAGAGTTTAGCCTCGAGACTTTGAAGGCTATGAGATGCATTTTTTGGAGAATGCACTACTCATGTGAGGAAGATGAAGTTTCTTCTCTTGCAAAATTATTAGAGAAGCTGGAGGAAACAAGGATGGACACACAATACAAATTGATTTGTTTAGTGTTGACCTAGCCGTTTCAACAACTACCATGGAGAGAATATTTTCAGCAATAGAACATGAACATTGATTTGTGCAACAAAATTAGCAATGAAGTTCTCGTTGATTACTTAGCTATTTTCTTTGTAAAAGAGTATATTATCAATATGAATGGAGATTATATTGCTAATGAATTTGATAAATTAAAGGACCTTCTTGTCCAATTGACATTGTAATGAAAATTATATTATTATATATTTTTGTTTATGGTATCTAATATTCTATTCAAATGCGGCCCAATGCTCTCTTATGTCCTGGATCCGCCGCTGCAAATATCATCTAGCAATTTTGCTTTCAATAGAAGATTTTTCCAATCAAACGGCCAATAGGATGCGGTTTATGAATTCTTGGTTTTTTGTTTTCCACAAAGAATATTTATGGTTAAAGAACAGAAATTAGATAAGGAAATCAAAACAACCCACATGGCTCGATACATATCCACCAAATGAAACAAACATAAAAAGCCCATCAAAGAAAAGAACAAAGGGTCAAAGCAAGGAGCCCACATCAACCCTACCATTTGTATTCTCTGGACCTCAAGATGAAATGTTGAGATTATTTTTGTCGTTACTGATTTCATATTCAACTCGGTGTTTTTTTTACAAATACATGTTGCAAGGTGCTACTAAAGGGATAGGAAAAAGGAGAAATGAGCGTCAATTAGCATACCATAGTCACCTATAGGTTCCCATACGCCGACCATATGATCTTCGTGCGACGAGCCACCAACAATGAGATATGCACATCCACAAGGAAACATGATACCATAATCGGCTATGAACAGAAAGAGAGAAGAAAAACAAGATCCAGGACGATGCATTCCTGCCAAAAAATTGCGTCGAGACTATTGCATGTGAGAAGGCCTTTGCACCTCCGTCCGTTGCCCTAGGTCGCTAGCTACCGTTGTTAAGAAATCATTCACACATTTTGCAAACAATTTTTCGTAACTGTTAAACTAATAGTAAGGAAGTCAAAGTACTGGAGCTTTTCTTCCCAAACTCGATCCTATCCTATAGGCTATAGCTATTATCTACCAAAATCCAAACACAAAGAAACCAAAAAAAACTCTGGCCATCGTACAGTGATGAGGACAAGTGAAAAGAAGACGACTTGTTGTTGGAAATTGGAACGGACAAAACACAAACCTCCACTCAAACTACACGTACATACACACCAAACATTATTAGATGGAAACTCATCAACTCGCGATTTCCGGCTCCCTCGCCGACCCTCAGCATTACCCAAGGCTAAAAGTTGGCTAGAGATAGAATAATAGTAGAACTAAATGAGAAAATTGAGAGAAGAAAAAACGTATCAAATGAGGAGAAACTAAGTATTTTTCAGTATGCTAGGAAGATAGACCAGACTGTTAGAAAAATCGTGGTTCAAATTGGATCGTACAGTTTGGTCCGTATCGTAGACTATTAAGTATGGTCTGTAATATTTGATGTTTTGATTTCTTGGTCTGGTCTAGACAACGGTTTACCAGACCAAACCGTGGACCCAACCGAATTTTCAATACGTGTTAACAGCCCATTCGACCACTCTCCCATCTCCCACAACGACACCCAAGTCTCAACCTTAATTTTGAGAATCTCGTCCCCCTACTTCATTCACAACCACATTTCACTAGAGAGTAGAGATAATCGTGTCTCTATGTGAAATTATGTTAATGTTTATGACGTTATGGTGCACGTTGGGATGCTTTTATTTTGTATCTTTGTTATGTACTATGATTTAGGGTGTCAAAATTATTCATGCATGTTAAAATTATTGTTTCAATACAAAAAAAATATTTTTTTCCTTAGTTATTGGTTCATCTTTTTATGTGGTTGACTAAACAAATTGTTCATTTTTCGTTGAGTGTGATTTATATGGACCAGACCGTACCGGACCAGACCGCACAGGCGTGATATGGACTGAACCGTATAGTTTGTAGTTTATACTCCAACCTCTCGACCTGGACCATAGACCCCAGACCAGACCACGTCGTTTCCCAACCCTAATTCTTAGTTTGGCTGAAATTCTCAAGAGATGGGGTTTACAACCAACTGCTTAGCCACGCACCCTACTTAGCAGCGGTAGATCTACAAGTTTTGACAAATATTTGTTGAGCATTTTGAAGTGTGATCTAGTTTATAATCCTTTGGGATTTGTCAGGTAATGTGGTGTCGTTTAGGGCTCGAGGTTCTCCTGAGTATGAAGTGATGTGAAGTGACGTGAGATATGGTTGGAGGGTAGCGGTTTGGACGCTGGCAACTGGCAACAAGTCCATCTTCGTCAACTTGGGCCGAGGGGCGGCAGCGGATGGGCCGGGAAGTTTCTTGTTCTTTAGCATGAGACTGGGATCAATCTGGACAAAAACAATTAATTAACTTGCGGGCAGTGTTTCACGGTTGTTTGTTTGTTTCAGTGGGCAGTGTGAGAGTAGAGTTGGTTGGAGTTTAACGCTTGTTTTGGGTTTATGTATGGAGTTGGAATC